CGACCAAATCCGATTTTGGTTAATAAAAGTTAAGTTTTTTAGCAACTAAAAAATAATTAGTAGCCAAAAGTATAGAATTGGCGACTAAAAAATATTTTTAGTCACGAAAAGTGGTCTTTTTTTTATTTTGGTAGTAAATAGTTTATTTTACATAAATTATGTTCAATAAAATAATTATGTTTATACATATACTTTTATATTAATATGGATGTATGTACTATATAAATAATATATGTTGCATATATAATCATGTGGTGCTATAGAGGTGTAGTGGGAAGAGTGTGGTGTATAAGGTTTATGGTGCAGAAGGTTGGCGGTTCGAGTCTCCGCAAGAGCGGATCAAATTGTTCTACAACGAATTATCGTCATGAATGACACTTGATAGCGTCACAAATAGTGCCTACCATGACATTAAAGTGTCACTGAAAGGTTTTAGTCTTGATGGTGTAATGACACTTACAAGTGTCACTAATTCTTTTTTTAATGGCGCTTGATAGTGCTACAAATAATATCTACCATGACATTAAAATGTCATTGAAAGTTTTCGCAAGCGGATCAAATTGTTCTACAACGAATTATTGTCATGAATGACACTTGATAGCGTCACGAATAGTGCCTACCATGACATTAAGGTGTCACTGAAAGGTTTTTAGTCTTGATGGTGTAATGACACTTACAAGTGTCACTAATTCTTTTTTTAATGGCGCTTGATAGTGCTACAAATAATATCTACCATGACATTAAAATGTCATTGAAAGTTTTCAGCCATGATGGTGCAGTGACACTTGCAAGTATCTACTGTGGCACTCGTATCTACCGTGGCACCGATAGAAGTGGCACTTGTTCAAAATGCCACAAGACCAAAAAATGTCATTAGAAGAATAGTTTTGTGGCACTTTCAAATGTCACTAAACTAAGAAAATATTGTAGTGGTAAAGAAAAAGCACAAGAAAATGATTTCATCTTTTTTTTTTTTTTTTTTAATCGCAAAGAAATTATGGACTTGTTTGGTTTGTTTTTGAGAGAGCTGTTTTTGAAAAAAAAAATTCAAAATTTTGTTTGGTTTGTGTTTTTCTCAAAAAATTTTCAAAATTATTTTCACTCTCTTACATATCAATCAATCACTTTTTCTCTTTCCTCTCTCCTTCTCAATCATTTTTTCTCTTACACACATCTACTCAATTATAACAAAATATCAAATCATCCCAAACTCTCAAACTCCAAAACTACTTTCAAAATCAATAATGGTAGGGGTCGTGAAAAATATATCATGCAATTCATCATAAAGATTTTTCATCCCTTGTTTAGTGTGTGATTAGTGTTGTGGTGTTTTATTGTATGGGTAATTTTCAAAATATATAACCAAGCAAACCAAAAAAATTTCTACACTTACTTCTTAATTTTTTTTAAAAAAATCACTCTCTCAAAAACAAACCAAACACACTCTATAACTTCCGCACTTCCAAACCAAATCCTAACAGGACCAGGACTGGGTTTTGTTTTGGATTCCTAAATCACAATACCAAAATATAATCAGTGTTTAGTTTGAATTTTTTAGATTAAGGTTAGGTTTGGTATAACACAAAAAAATAAAAAAGTCAAAAAGTCATTATTCTATTTAAGTTACATTATCTTACTTAAATCGCATCACCTCTTTATTACATCACTTCAAACCCAACTCATAGTTCATAAAAAGTCAAAAAGTACACTTGTTTAGATCATCCCAAACAACTCCTAAGTTTTTTAAAAATTGAATTTTTTAGTTTTTGTGTTTTTTAGTTTTTAGTAAATGTTTTTAAAATTTTAAACATTTTTTTTTTACTTTTTAGATACATAAGGTGTATCTAAAAAAGTAAAAAAAAATTATGAAAAAATATTTTAAAAAATTAATGAATACATGAAAATATAAAAAATATATTGAATTTTCATAATTTTTTTTTTTGTATTTTTGGTATTTAGTGAATTTTTAAAAACATTTTTTTTTTACTTTTTAGATACATAAGGTGTATCTAAAAAAGTAAAAAAAAATTATGAAAAAATATTTTAAAAAATTAATGAATACATGAAAATATAAAAAATATATTGAATTTTCATAATTTTTTTTTTGTATTTTTGGTATTTAGTGAATTTTTAAAAGGTTTTTTCACAATTTTTTTTACTTTTTAAGTATGTTTATGTTAGGTATGTCTAAAAAGTAAAAAAAAAAAAACTTAAAATATTAAAAAAATTCAGTAAAAATAAAAAAATACGAAAAATAAGAAAGTATGATTTTCTAAAAAGTGTTTTTTGAAAAGTTTAACCAAGCAAATATGCTCTTTTTAAAAAAAAATAAAAAAAAAATCTCTAAATACTAACCAATATAAAAAAACATAAAAATTCAGTATGCTTTTATAATTTTTTTTTTTGTTTATTGAATTTTTTTTATAACTTTCTTCACATTTTTTTTTTCACTCTTTAAATACATTTAGATTAAATGAATCTAAAAAATTTATCAAAATATTTAAAAAATTCGCTACTAATTTTAAAAGATACAAATTAAATACTTAAAATTTATTTTTGAAAAATCAAAAACGTTTGGAATTTCGCTTGACTTTTTTAGTATAACACACACATATATATTTGAGTTAGTTTCTTCTTTTTCTTTAGCGAATTTTGAACTTGATTTAATTTTTTTACATTTTTAGTTCTACTTCAAAAATGTAAACATATCAAATATTAAAAAAAAAAAAAAACCCAAAGAAGTAAGTTATATATATATATATATATTAACTTGTACAATTCAAATAAATAAGAATAAAAATAAATAATAAAGAAATTAATATTATAATAGATATGATGGCTAAGTGGTAATGGTGTTTTTAATAATAACAATACTACATTTGTTGAATTTGAGTTTGTTTGAATCACTCGAATTTGTGCATGTCGTCCGGCTAGACGTTTGGGAGGATGCTTGTCAATTAGGCTGATGTCAGTTGACATACCGGTTGACACAGATGACAATTGCAGTTGATAAGTGTGATGCCGGTCACCTGGGTAGTTGTTCAAGAGGTCATCTAGCTAACATAATTCGAATGATTCAGGCGAGCCTATATTCGATGTATCAATCGTTTTTATTTTAACAAAATCAAAGGTTTGTATTCAAACCTCGTGTACCACTTTTTTATATAATTATTTATTTATTTAATTTAAGATAAAAAAATTTGTCAAGACTTAGATACTAAATTTAACCTTTACTTAACAATAGTATAAATAAATAAATACTTTTTAAATTTTACTTTTTTGATCTTTTACACTAATAGACAACTTGAAAGGCAAATAATTTTGATACAAATTTCAAAAGAAAATTACTAATTTTTTTTTTTAAAACAAAAGTCTATTTGGTCAAACAAAGCACTTTCCCCCTAGAAACCTTACTGTGTCGTGGGGTTTCTAGAGATTTTTTTTTTTAATAAAAACATATACACATGTGAATATAGAGTAGATCCAACTAATTAAAAATATTAATACTATAAACTTATACTTATCAAGTCAAAAATTGCTATGGCATCCTTTGAAAATTTGACTATTTTGTTAGGTTATTTTAGTTTTTAATTATTTTAATAAATTAAAATTTTTGTATTTGAAAAGATTGTTGAATTTTTTTATAGTTAAATGTGATGTTTGTAAGAAAAAAAGTAAAATGATTATGAGTTTAATGTGATATTTTGTCTTATTAATTATTTAGCTTATTTTATCTTTTTGTGAAATTTACGGCTGATTTGGCAATCCAAAAATAATTTAAAAAGCCAAAAAATTATATAAAAAGCAAAAAAGACATTCAGCTTGCTTGGTTGTATTTTTTCAAAAACACTTTTCAGAAAATTCTACTTTCTTGTTTTTCGTGTTTTTTTTACTGAATTTTTTTAATATTTTAAACAATTTTTTTTTTACTCTTTAGACATGCCTAACATAAATATACCTAAAAAGTAAAAAAATTATGAAAAAAATCTTTTAAAAATTCACTAAATACTAAAAATACAAAAAAATACGAGAATTTAGTACATTTTTTAATATTTTTATGTATTTATTAAATTTTTAAAATATTTTTTCACAATTTTTTTACTTTTTAGATATATCTAAATAAGGTACATTTAAAATATCACTATTCACAAATAAAAAATATTAAAAAAATAATTTATATATTTTTATAATACAAATAGACTGAGCACTGTTCTCAGCCGTACTTGCTAGGGCAGATACCAGACATTACACTTTGTTTTGGGAAAAAAAAATTCTGTATGTAAAGTCAACAATTTTGATGACAATGTTGGGGCTTAAAGACTCCGTTTTGATAATTCAAACCGTTGAATATGTAAAACTTATTAATTAATATAAGTTTGTAAAAAATCAAATTAATCAGATATCATTAACTATATGATCAAATCAGTTTTGTAAAAACAAAACAAATAGTTGGATAGTTAACTGTTAAAAAAAACTATTCTGATCATATAGCTATCGATATCCGATCAACGTGATTTTTTATATTTGCATAATACTCGATAAATTTTACATATTGACGGTTCAGATTATTAAAATGAGACCTATGGTAGCCCCCACAAATCGACCATCACTATCCAAACACTTTACCTCAAAGGAGGCAATTATTTTCCTTGCAAGACGGGGCAGAGCTGGACAGCCGTACATGCAATTACTTTTTCTTTTCTATACACTTTATTTATATAATTTTTTATTATATATTTTTTCATAAAAAAATAAAAAATTAATCTAAACATTCATATTTTCTTCTCAATTTTTTAGTTCAAAAAGACAAAAATTACACTTATTTAGGACACTTCAAACAACTCATTAGTTAAAAAAAAGTTATAAACCCACTTTTCAAACAGCACCTATTAAAAATTATCAATTTATAATTTAAATTAATTTTACACAAAAATCTTATATTATATAAATTTATTTTCCATCTCACAATCAATCATAAAAAAAAAAAAAAAAAGAAATCTAAATTGATAAGGTTGGATTGCCAAACTTTATGATAAGGTTGCATTGTCAAACTTTATTCAGACTAAAATCTATCGCTTACCTGAAAGAAATTGATAAGGTTGGATTGTCAAACTTTATTCAAACTAAAATCTCATCGCTTACCTGAAAGATTCACTTTGGTCGGGTATTTGTAAACTCGGTTGTTGGATTGAACTGGATGGCTTGGAGCGGGCAACCCGGGTAATCGAATACCCACGTACAAACCCGACAAGAACCGCCGAGAGATCGAAGACTGGGACAGTGGTAATTGGGACGATGGCATCAACAGTTCATACTTTGAGAAATTTTGGGCAAAAAGAAAGTTTGGTCGACATTATCATATGAATTTTTACAGATACCATTGATTTGCATGAAATTATATGAATCATGAATGCCATAGCTACTATACCCAGATGTTTAAATCATGTTTTGGTCGATACCCAGTGGTGCTAAGTGCTGTAATTTGTTCCACACGTCTGGTGTTTGACAAAATGTCTAACCGGAAATGTTGAGTTGAACAAAGAGTTTGCAGCTTTTATCATTGTTTTCACGTGTTTAATGGTTCAATTGGGAAACTAGAAGAGAGAAAAGAAAAGAAAAAAAAAAGGTAAACTATAGTGGTTTTCTTTATTCTTGTCTGTATAATTCAGGAGACCAAAAACGGGAAAAAAATTTGTTATCCTGGCCTCTTGTTTGGGAAAGATGGAGGAGAGAAAAGAAAAGAAGGTTTTATTATCTGGGTAAAAGGTGGTTATAATGTCAGGGACAATATGGATAATCCACTGGCTCCCATTTTATTTTATTTTATTTTATTTTATTTTTTTCTCGAAATCTCGCCACATTTGGAGAAATTTGAAAAGTTGGTTATAAAACCAAACCAAAAATGGCATGAGAGGGTTGAATTGAACTTGAATTATTGTGCATGGATGTTAAAGAACTCAACTTGGAGAAGACTTTGATGAAAATAGCATCAATTGTATGCTTGAATTGGAATTTGATAATTTTGTAAGACTTTAGTTTAGAATCTTGTAATTTAGGTTTGGACTTGTTAAACCATGAGAATACGCCTAGAATGTGTGTTGTACAGAAAATGCCTTGAAAATAGATCAAAAATTCAAATCAGAATCTCCTTTGCTCGAGCGGGCTTTGGCCTACTTCGGGCGCTGACAGAATGCCAACCTAGACACTTGCTGTAATGAAATACATGCACTATTATTTGCAGAATATGAGTCAAACTTATGTTACATTCTTAATTGCCCAATAATAAACAAATTCAGATTCCCTTCATTTAGCTCTGGCCTTTGATAGCAAGGAGCAACTGGCTAGTCATTGTTTCATTTCATTGACCAAGTGTGTGGGTTCAGGTCTTGACATGAGTTTTTTGGGGTTCTTTGAATTGACAGTATAACTCTAATCAGGTACTGGGTGTGATATTACCCATACTCACATGCAGCGGAACCATTTGTCGGTCTGAGTTGGGATTCACTCAATTTCAGTTAATGACTCCATCTAATGAACATGGAATACCAAATATGTACCTATGTCAAAGAAATTTCTGTTGATTCATGATTCAATTTCTTTTAATTCATTAACTACCGTAGGCATGCATATTAGTATTACTATTTCTTGCTCAATTGTGGGTATGCGCCAGTTTCCAAGAGTTTGATTTGGCTTTCATTCTGGCAGTCTTTAAACAAGCTCTTGTCAGAAGATAAGAAGTTTGACTTTGTGATGAAATGAAATTGAGAGAATAGAATGGTGAAGAGGAAGGTAATGAAGGCATTGAAAGATAAAGATGATGACGAGGACAACAATTGATGCTGGTTGGTTCACAGGGGTATTCCGGCCTCATTTATTTGTACAAGTTGGTTTGTGTTTTTGGTGAGAGTCGCTCTATCTCTCCATCCTTGCGTTGGTGCCGGTAAGTGGCATCCAAGTATGGGGACTTTGAAGCACAGAGGCATTGGATAGCACTGCCAACGATCTGAGCTACTGGGGACTTGACTACCCTCCCCTTACTGCCTACCATAATAATGTTCAGGGTCTTTTCTTTAGAAACTTCCATCCAGGTTCTGCTTCACTTTACACTTCTCGTGGCCACGAGTCCTATCTTGGGTTTGTATCATAACAGTACATCTTGATTAATAGTATTGAGATCTTTATTTTTGCCATTCTCTTAATTATTAAATTATTCCATCAATTGTTTCAGCTGCTCAATGTTTTGCCCTGCAGAAAGCTGCTCATGAGGTGGACAGTCTTGTCCTCTGACATGTTGATGTTCTTTCCTGCAGTTTTTTTATTTTGTTATCATGTACTATTCTGGTACTTACAGTGGACGTAAAAGTGATGTTGCATGGCACATTGCAATGATTTTGCTTAACCCATGTCTGATACTGATTGACCATGGTCATTTTCAGGTGTTGAATAAAATTTATTCCCTTTCTCCACCTAAATATTCTATGCTTCTCTTGTAAATTGCGAGTGTGCCATTTCTAATTCTTATATTATTTCATTTCAGTACAATTGTATTAGCTTAGGGCTTGTTGTTGGAGCTGTTGCCCCCATCCTCTCTAACACAGACCTTTTGGCTTGTGTCCTGTTTTGTCTCGCTCTTAATCACAAACAGGTGGCTTCTTGCTTTGATAAATTGCGCACCAGGCTTTGATTTGATTTGATTTTATCTTCCCAAATTCATGATTACTATTTAGTATTCCGAAGCAACTTGGCCCAATGAAGTTGCACAAGGATTTATATTCTTCCATAGTTCGAGCACAAAACAAAATTATGCTGGTCATTGGTCAATCATTAATATCTTTTTCACGAGGACTGTATATTGATTTTGTTGATTTCTGAGGGGCATATTTTGGAGTTGTTGCCCCACACTCTGTGTGCAATATAGATTACAGTGGTATGATTTATTGGGCTGATCTGACTTGGTGAAAATTGCGGTTGTCTTTTATGCAGATGAGTGCCTATTTTGCTCGTGCATTTTTCAGCCATCTTTTGGGTAAATGCCCAAGGCATCGGAACCCATTTCTTCCAGTGTCAAAACTTAGCTTGGTGGTCTTAAGAACATTTGCCCTTGTTTGGTGGCCATATCTGCGGTCGGTGACAGTGTTTTTGGAGGTTAACATCAGCAAGTATGCAATTGTTTTTATTTTGTTTGTTTTATTTGTCTTTGATTAGTTGTTTCTGGGATTAGATCCGTGTCCAAATTTTATTTTATCTTTTGTTCTTGAGTTGAGATAAAGATGTGGAAAACCATACTCACAATTTAGTATATGAAATTTTGTTGAGATTAAACAGATCATCTGAAATACAGATCTTTGGTATATATCCTTTGGACCATCTAGTAGTTCACTCGTCCCGAACTAAATGACCACATAATGGCCAGGTTATAGCCAAAATAGGTGTAAACCAATGTAGTGGTTTGCTCAATCCCAGGGTGATAATTAATAAATTTTGCTTTTGAAAGTGACATCTGCTCTGGAAGAGCCGACCCAACCCAACCCGACTGCCGTGTAAACTACTGTAAAGCTAGTCCACCTTGCCAAGTCGATTTTAGTTCAAGGTAGGCCCAGATCCACTATAAATATAAAAGCACAACCAATAGGGAAAAAACGTTAAGCGGTCATGATGCAGGGCTCTAATGATGGAGCTCTAATCAAAGCTCCACTGATGTTGTAGGAAGTAAAAAATAAATAAATAAATAAATAAATAAGATACATCCATCACATTATCAGTGGATGAGGCTCACTCTGTGACTAGAGCTCCAAAACATTTTTCAAAGTTAAGACCTTTATTTTAATTCTGACTCCAACTTTTTCTTGGAGTCCTCTCATTCCTATTCTGTTTGTACTCTTGAATGTGAAAAATCTAAGTGATTCGTGATTAGATCAAGATTTAATTGTATCAATTCCCAACCAATTAAAACTAACAATCTAAATCATCAAGCACGTACGAAAGTAATTTAGATTATTGTTTCAGAAACAATAAATAGACACAAACGATTTTTACGTGAAAAAAAATCACTATTGGAACACCTCCAATTGTGATTAAAAAACCGTGGATGAAATGCCACAAATCAATTCACTACTGAAGAAAGAAAGATTCATTATCAGTGGATGAGGCTCACTCTGTGATTAGAGCTCCAAAACATTTTTCAAAGTTAAGACCTTTATTTTAATTTTGACTCCAACTTTTTCTTGGAGTCCTCTCATTCCTACTCTGTTTGTACTCTTGAATGTGAAAAACCTAAGTGATTCGTGATTAGATCAAGATTTAATTGTATCAATTCCCAACCAATTAAAACTAACAATCGAAATCATCAAGCACGTACGAAAGTAATTTAGATTATTGTTTCAGAAACAATAAATAGACACAAACGATTTTTACGTGAAAAAAAATCACTATTGGAACACCTCCAATTGTGATTAAAAAACCGTGGATGAAATGTCACAAATCAATTCACTACTGAAGAAAGAAAGATTACAAATATACCAAACAAATTATCCAAACGCTGTCAATTTGTCTTCAACAATCTATTTATTTTTACTGCAACCTTCATCTCGGAATCAATCAGGTTGATGTTGAATCCACAAATCCATTGTCGAATCAACGACTGCACACAGCATCAAACTCCTTCGATTACTCTGCGCTTGAATCTTCAGATTCCACCGAAGAAGAACACTCTTAAAGATGAACAACCAAACTCCTTAATGTGAGCTTATCAAAACATGAGTTCAATACTCAATTAAACATTAAGGAAAACCAGCAAAACAGCCCCAAAAGAAAATCCTAAAACCCTTAAAGAAGATCTAAAAAACATACCCTAGATTTGGAGCAGCCTACAGTTTTATAGCTGCTGAAATCACGAAGTCCACTCGAGCGTAGGAATGGACGCCCGAGCGGGGACACCAAAATGCGTGTTCCAAACCAGGATTCACGCTCGAGCGTAAAATCACACCACGCAGTATTTTTTGTAGACAAGCCAAAGTACTGCGATAGTGGAAACTCCGTTCGAGCGCCACGTTCCCCGCTCGAGCGGGAAGACCAAAAACATAAGAAAATTACAACTCAATGAAACTCAAGTTTGTTCACGGAATTGACAATAAGTAGGGTCCTAACAATCTCCCCCTTTGTCAATTTCCAGACAAAACTTTTCTAACAATTTTTCCTATCAAACAAACCCACTAAACACACACAATCAAAAGCCTCGACATAAACAAAAACAAAAAATATCAAAAACACTGCAAAACCAGCCGAATTCAAATATGAAACACTTAGGAACATTTTGAACAATCCACCTATGGAAACAACCATACAAACCAAAACTGTGGAACTAGATAAGACAAATAGATCAAAATAAGCACAATAGCCAAATATATATCTAACATGAGCTATTTCAAACAAATCCCAATTTCCATGCATCAAAACTTATCTATGCCCAAAACCCAACACAATCCTCAAATCCCAAATAACTACAAAGCCAAAAATATCTCCAAAATATATCTACTTCCCTGTTTTGTTTGGGAGGAAAACACAAGTGAAAAAGAAATAGAAAACAAGAGAAAAAACTGTGCAAAGAATATACTAGCTAAGAAAACAAGCATCACGGAGCTGGTGGCTGTGGAGGTGGCTGCATCTGAAGGAGGGACAAGATCTGGGAAAGATGAATAAAGGACTGAGCAACGGACTCCTCAATGCGGCTAGAAGAGGCCTCCAATGCAGTGAGTCGGGCATCGGTGGTAGTCTCAAGATCAGTAAGCCAGGCTTCAAAGATATCCATCTAGCCATCCAAGTGATCAAAACGTGAAACCATGGACTGCTTGAATTGACGTTGATGGCCTCTAATAGAACGAGCCGGAGGAAGTTGCTCCTCATCACCGGCAGCCTCACCTGCAGTAGCAGCGTCATACTCGACCTCCTCAACCAAAGAAGTATCCCCTGCACCCGCACCAGAACTACCCACGCCGGAAGAGACCCCTTTAACATGAGACTGACTCTGAGAGACGGTCTTTTTGGTGAATGGGCGGGTGGGAAAAGCAAATTCATCCTCATCAAAAGAAGGAACTTCGAATTTGGTGAGGAGTCGGTTAATAAGGCAACCATAAGGAATACCTAAGTTATTTCTCTCAAAAGCCGCGATCATTTTTTGAATAATCAAGGTGGCAAGGTCGATAGAACGGTGGTGAGCAATGCAAAAAAGGACAAAACCTTGTTCTTGATTGATTTCGGAGCTGTGAGTGGTGACTATGATGTTGGCACAAACAATGAGGTTGAGTAAGCGGAACTGGGGAAGAAGCTTATTTTGTTTGATCAAAGTGCCCTGGATCCAAGAACGAGACGTACCACACAAAGCAGTGGCAACCTCATTGAAATCACAGGTGGGTCGGACAGGGAAAGGATAGTGACAAGGAAAGACTTGGCCAATGCACAATAGCTCACGAATAAGGTCAGGTGTAATGGTGATAGAATTAGACCTGACCCAGGTCTTGAAGGTAGGGCCAATATCGTCAATCCCCTCAATATTGCAATAAAATTCCCGCACCCAGTCAAGATTTTGATGGCCAGAGAAAGAAAGGACTAAATCTCCTCCCAAAGGATCAAACAATGGTCAAATGAAGATGGACATAAAGGTGTTTGGGTGTTCATTACGCTCTAAATGAACTGTCCTAGAGGGGGTAAGACTCTCTAAACAACTTGGCTTTTTCTGTTGAGCGATGGTAGATAGTTAAGAGACTCAACATCACCCATGATATGCCAGTTGTCTTCTTATATTTAGAGGTGGACATGACTAAGTCAGGGATACGCAATGGAGACAACCATAAACCCCCCAACCTAAGAGAAGAACCAAAAACAAAAAACACAAACAAACCATTAGTAGAAGAGGTCAAATAGATAAAAAAAACAAATAGCCAAGATCAGTAACCAAATCATTAGTGACTAAAGGCAAATGACAAATATCTAGTAGACATAATCTAGTTGTAGCAAAACCAAGCAGAAACACAACCAATGAGTAACATTTAGTAACAAAATCCAAATAGGCATAATGAAAATCACAATAACCCATAACCCATTAGAGCACCAAACTAAAGATCCAAGAGAACGACAGACTATAATCATATTTCATACAGAAAGGCCTGAGCCCTCTCCATAAGAAACTCAACAAGTACAACCCACTGTGAAAGTGTGTGAACAAGTAGAGAACAACATTTAACCACAGAGGTGAAGATACCTCACCAAATACCTCATTTAATTGGAAAAAAAATACAAAAATAGATAAAAATAAATAAATAAATAAAAAACAAAGAGGAAGAAAGAGACAAACCAGAGATGGAAGAAGAGCACACAAATACAAGGAAAGACATGCACACGAGGCAATCCAAGTTGCAAGAGGAAGGAAAGGGACCACAGACGAAGCCCTAGGAGAGAGGAAGAGATTTTGGGAAAAAAGGGACTGAAGAGTCAAGGAAAAGGTTTTTAAAGCAAACTAGTCTGCTCGAGCGAGGGTTTATACGCTAAAACCAGAGCCTGAACATGCGTAGCTACGCTCGAGCAAGGAATCATGCGCTCGAGCGCCAAAAACACCCACTCAGAAGTTTGTAAAGTGCGAGAAGAGAGATATTTCTGCTCGAGAGCGCCATTCTTTCCGCTCAAACGGGGGCAAAACAAACAACAATGAAACATGCACCCTTCTGAGCAGATTAAAACCTAACACACCCTGTCAAATGAGACCTAAAACAAACAGAGGTGAGCATAATAGCAAGAATGTGACACTATGATGAGATAATCTACACACCATGAAGCCCGCAAACTTGCAATTATGATAATATGAAGCAGAATAACATGAGTAAGTCAGATAAAAATTGATCAATAAGCATAAGCTACATGGGAATGCACAACTCAAAAACAAATATGAGAGCTCACATAATAAATGTGTGTGTGTGTGTGTGTGTGCAATACTTGAGAGGCCATAGAGCTAGAGTTAATCCTCGTAGTGATCGGATGGCTAGACCTCTGGCAAGAGTAACGAAACATCACAGAGAAAAGTCAAACCACTAGGAATCAAGGGGTATTTGTTGAGTAAACGCAGAGACTCCCCCTCAGTCAATGAGTTCCTCTTCTTCTTCTTTTTTTTTTTTTTTCTTTGTGACTTTTCTTTCTGTAGGCACTCATTGGTGGCATGCATGCTCAAGAGTATGGAGACCAAACTAAAGAAGCATGAAATCAGTAAGCATGGCTTGGTTGGTGCCTCTAAGGTAGCCTTTTCCTAATGCTCGGACTTCAATGAACTGAAGGAGGAACCGTGAAAATGAAAAACGATGGTAGATA